AGTATTCGAAAATGTTCGAGTCATAAATGATCGCTATATCTTCGAAGAACATCTAATGCAACATTAATCTTCCAAAACGTGGCCCGTATGATTTATCGAACACTTCAAGTCATTCACGAGTATTAAATTTGAATACGGAAAAACAGGCCGGATTCCTCTAGAATATTCCAGGTGTATTTCGAGTCAGCCGAAATCGAATACGTCAGAACATTGCGGCATACGCGGCGTGAGCCGATCCGTATTCGAGCGAATTCGGGCCCGAATATTTGGCTTTTCGCGCAGTGATCGTTCCCAGGGCTATCCCTTTGAGAATGGGAGGGGAGGGAAATGCCCATGGCATTGGCTGGTCATTTGATCATCAAACACCCGAAAATTCTGGGTGTAAAAATTTACGATATGACGAAGGTGTGAAATAATTTCCAAGCAAGATAATTTAATTGCACGGTAACTTTTCGATAAACAGCCACCTTGGATTAGGTTTGTCCCTTGTGCTCGTAAAATGCGGGAAAGCTGTTCACTGGACTCTCAAAAAGTTGCTAAAAAATCGCCCCAAATCCAAACAATTGCTATCTAAATTCAAATAGTTGCTACCTAAATTTCATTATATTTCTTATGTAAACGTTTATTAAATGCTTTATTTTTCCGTCTTCGCAATAATTGTTTTCATCGGTCAAGCAAAAATAGCTTGAACCTAACTTTACAGAGTTAATCGCAAATATGGAAGAAATTTAAGGACACTCTTAAGTCTAACGGAACAAAACACATGGTTTATTTGACGTCTTGCCGAACGTCAAGTGACAGGTTATGTGTTCAAACTTCAAAAAGTCGATAAACATTCAAGAAATTCGCATAAATTGAAGTTTTCTATGAAATCGTTAACTTTTTCTTGACGTTGCTAGAACCGTAAATAAATGCTCCAACCGCCAAAAGCTGCTCAAAAGCTGGCTAGCTCAATCGGGACAGGCCTACGCCTTGGATTAGCTCTAAACCGATGCCACTTTTCTTCTTTTTGCCCCTCCTAATCTCTGAGGGAAAACAGCTGGGAAAGAGGCAGTGGAGTGCAAATTTCCTGAGAAATCACTGATAAAAACTTAATGTCTCCTGACATGTAATTGACGAAAATACCGGCAACCACTCGCAGATTAAAGTCATGCGACCTTCAATGTGAAACTAATACTACGGCAACCAATTCGAACCTAACACTGAAATCAAACTGTTTGTGGTGATAAAGTCATTACCTCGAAAACCATTTAATCGAGATCTTTTCCTATAAATGATCGAAAACAATGGTATTGTCATCGCCGGAAAAACAAAATCGATTGAAGAACAAAGGAGATTTACATTTACGCAATTTAAGACAGTACGTTTGTGATTTGCATACGTAAGCATTTTCAAAACGTTTTGCGTCACGCTCGCTTTGTTGCCATCTTTTGCGGAAGTGTCGCTTGCTGTTTCGAAGGAAATTTTAAGTTGTGGAAGTATCAGGAAAATATATTTTTATGTATATTCGAGGCCTATCAGTCGTCGGTACATCAGAAACATTCGCATTCTGGCAGGGCTTATACCATGTATCAGCATGTACGATAATTGCATTTAATTTGTAGCTATATCAGAGTTTTCCGCCTAAAAACAGCGTGAACTTCACGTAATGGATTTTACGAACCTTTGCATGTTGTACTTTTATTCCCACTGGCCGGTTTAAAACGAATTTTACTCAGTACGGTGTGCGAAACTAATATTTCGTGTACTGACCTTCAATGAAATGCCGTTCGTCAGCGCTGTGTTTTTTTTTTTTTCACAAGTGCATATCCCCAAACATATCGAGCAATGTCGCGTTGTAATACCAAAAATTTCGACGGACAGCGGCACGTTTCAGTGCAACATTCAGTATGTTGTGAACGGAGCTTACTTCGACTGTCGAATTTTCCTGAGGTTCAGTCGGAACAGCCGGAAAGTTGATGTTTTGTGCTTAGCAGTGCAGAAGACTAAATTATATTCAAGTCGGCAGGGTCCTTACGTCAAGTGCCTTGATTGGACCGGATGACACATAAAGGGGAATTTCACCCTTTCAGTTTCAGAATACAAAAACGGATAAGACTATGCAAATAATCACGGAGCTCCCAAAATTCGAAAGGTCGTTTATGTAATACACCTTTAAGCCTAAACCCACGTTTTTCTAGATATTCTTTTATTACAGTTTTATCTAAGTATGCTATGGATTGTTTTTCGTTGAATATGCCCGATTTCGCCTATTTCCCTTGCATGGCGGCTACAGAAGCCGCCATGCAAGGGAAATACGAAACACCAGAGATAAGATATCAGACAGTTTTTTTTCCTTTTCTTTTTTTATTATTTCTTTTTTTTGGAAAACGTCAGTTGAGTGGTGGGAAACGAAGCATTTTATATGGGGTTGGCCATAAATGCAGACAAAAATTCAATGATGAACGCAAGCATAAACAGAATACAAACAAGCTGACAAAAGAAAGCAAGTCAAGATCGCTTTACCCACTTTACCCTTTGCTCGCGATTATGCTCAAATCATTTTTTTTTTAAATTATTTTTTTTATGTGTGTGCTCAAATCATAGTGTCAGGCGTGTAAACGAGTGACGCAGTGAAGAAAATAAAGCAAAACACCTGCCCGGCCTTTGTACATTAAATCATTTGACGGACTTCCGTGTTGGCTATCGCTATTCAGGTTTTAACCTTAATTGCTGGGCTGTGACCTCGTAAATAAACTGCAGTTAAAATTCACTCCATATCTTTATTATAATAAGCATAAAATTCATCCCTTGCATGGTAATCTAGGTAGTGTTGATGTCTTGATAAAATACGGTACATTTTGAATATACTCAGAGGTCTCCTATTCCCTTTGCACGCACCTGAGTACACCATGGTAATCAAGAGGAATGTTAAAAACTGAAGATCTTTTATAAAACGTAATAAATGAGTCGTTGCGTATGGTTTTCCTGTTGATTATGAGGCGAACGACGATCTCGTTTCCAATGCTTTTCCCTTTGAAATTTCAATAGGAAAAGCCCTGGGAACGAGGTTGGGGCGAACGAGTGACAACTGCGACACGCGAGTAAGCGCGCGAAACGTGGGGAGCGAGCGCAAAATGTGCGATAAGCGATCGCGAACGCGAGCGAGCGAAGGTGTGGCGAGCGGAGTCTCTGATTCCATGCACTGAGCTTCACCGCAGCGAGAAGTCAATGAGCCCACGTATGATTTTCGTCAGCTTATTGCACCATGCTGCCTTGCTCCTGCTACCTTTTAATTGGAAACTCTCTCGATCGGACTTGCAGAATTTGTTAAATTTTTTAGTACGGTAATCATTACAAGGAACGATGAAAGTTCCTTTCTACCTTTTTCGGCGTTGAATTCGTTCAAAGGTACAATTAGGGCACCATGCCGGCGTTTGGTACATTTAGTTTTATTTCTACTCGGGGCCTGAATGGGACTTGTTATGCTCCTGTGTCGAATTAACGAATATACTGAAATTCATGACTAAATTAAAATAGGTTACTTTCACAAACATTTAAAAATTATAGTAGTTCAACAATAAATATCCGTATCTCAGTGGTGGTGGTCAAATCTGTGGAGGCTATTACTAACACTGGTTTTTTATCTACATGAGTGTATATTTTTAACCGCCTAGGATGAAAATTCTTATTTTTCGGTCGATGTTTCGGTCGATTTTTCGGTCGATATTCTTGTCATATCAAACTTTGGGTTAGGATGTACATTCTTAGATTACAGAGTATAGTACATGTATTTCAGTTAAATTAAACGGACCAGGAATCGACCAATCAGATATAAACCTGTACCGTGCCTGGATCGTGTTACACGGCGCGCGTGTCGTTATAGGTAAGTTTTTATCCGTCGTTTTGATAGCTAGTGTTGTTGGAAAAAGGAGAGAATTTGCCATACTTTGCAATGGTAAGATACAGTTCATGAAAAAAAAAAAACCTTATGTGCTTTTGTTGCCGGTAGTTTATTTGACACCAGCACGCAAGCAATATATCTTAACAAAGCCTCAGCCCTGGGTATATCCATAACATATTCTTAAATTTTCTCATAAAGAGATTCTTGTAAGATTCTTTATAAAATTATACAACAAAAGAGTACTACTAAAGTAACTTTAGTTAGCTCTTTCGATACTCTGACCTCTTCTCTATTTACAAATTTATACTGGCATGCTTCGATGATCCTAAACAATACAGTTGCAGTTGCACCTAAGCTGGATGCATGGGTTAATTATACCTAAGTTTACAAGCATACGAAAGCCAATTAAAAAGCAGTCTAGGACATGTGAGATGAACATAGTTATACAAAATCGAAAACAAAGCGCGAAAAAAGGGTGAAAAAAAATTAAGAAAAATTTGCATAATACGAAAACAAAACGTGTGTCCTTCACGAAATTATGTACTGCTTTTAATTCTGACATCATCTGCTAACTACGAGTTAGTCTGTAGTCTGACGTCATTTAATTAAAAACGAACCCGAGCAAACTACAAATAACGGTATTGATGTGAGCGCAGCCTTTAAGTACTACTTAAATAGCAGTTAACCGAAGTCTTTAAGCGAACAGCTCTTAGCTATTCGAGAGATTTCTAGGTATTACAGTACATAGCACCTATAAATGTTCGTCTTATGTAGATCCTTTAGATGTTTAGACAAAATCCCCATAGGGTGGTGGCGAGTCACATAAATACGATATGCTTCCCGCACTGTTGACTACGACAAAATCGTACGGTGGTGGAGAAGGTTTAATTATAGTTCTGGGATAAAAGCCCGCGCGCACAAGTGTTGCGTTTGACGCAACATGCTGACAAGGCAGTTGTCGAACATTGTCAGACCTAAAAGACGTTTCATCAGGTTGTCCCTCTAAAGACGCAGATTGTCTTTCGAAGGAAGGCATGCAACCAGCATCAGAAGATTGAGCGTTTTCAGTTCTCAAAGACGTCCCGCAGGTACAACTTAAAGTGACACGGGCCGCAGATTCGTAGGACTCGCTGATGTCGTACGGAGGAGGGTTATCAGGGCGTCTGTCGTCCACAGCAGTATTAAATCCCGGATAGCCGGGAAGATATGGAATAGATAACGTAAAATCTGAGTCACTTTGAATGATTCGCCCAGAATTTGCCGCTTCTGTGGCCACCTTGGTCCAGCCGCATCCGAATCTACGAAGTAGGTCACAGACGACCGCCAAACATGCGCCAGCGATAACTAAAACCACTCCGACAGCGGACATTTCAAAGTCTGTTGAAGCAAATCCTGTCACAACAAAAATAGTCCCAACCAGTAGACTGCCAACATACGACAGGAAAAGAAACAACCACCAGTCAGAAACTTTGATACCAGTAGAGTTGAAGTGACATAAAGGTAGCTGGCACAATCGTCGACTGCAATAACCACGGCTTTGAGCCTCCACATTCGCCATAGGAACCTGTAAGTTCGTGACTTGTTCCGCGCTGTCCTTTCGGTTGTTTACAAATCGCTATTCGAAGGCTAGTTTGACAGACACTGGCGCAATCCCTGCTGATAAAGAAAATCGTAACATAATTTTACCAGGGCCTATTCTACCATCGGCTGCTTTCTCTTGACGACGAGAAAAGCGAAACCATCGAGTGACGGTAATAATCACAAGACACCTGGCAGAAGTTCAAAACTTGTACTCACCGCTTGAGACTCATAAGCTAGCTGTCAGTATTTGGTGATAAACAATTTCTTCGCTTTTAAAACAAAATTCAATCCTTTGCTATTTTATAGCAGGGAATTAAATCGGCGAGAAAGCGAGGGACCGCTCGGCGGTGACCCTTAGTGAGGCGTTTCTGCAGAGGTTTGAATACCGACGTCTGATATCGAGAAAAATAAACCCAGTTTGCCAGTGAAAGAAAACTGCAAAATTTTGTCACGTACATACACGTGCTCAGTGAGTGCACTGTCTTATTGAAATTCATTCTTGGTTTGCTTACATGACATATCCCTTATTTACATTCATGGCCATGTTCACGCGATACAAAATGTGAGCGCACTTGCATGTTTATCATGTGTTTGACACGTGCTAGGCAGGTGTCACTCTGATTAAAAATGCGAATCGCCGCCGGCAACGATGTTGACATGCGAAACATTAACAATTCAATACCACCTTCCGAAGTGATATTGCTTTTAAAAAGCTTGTGTTTTTCGCCGGACATTACGTAACAAAATTTTAAGATCACAATTAACATCTATCTGCATTTCTTGTGTTTGTCTTTTATTTCTTGCCTCTCACCTTGCAAGAAAACGTGCGAGCCCGCTTGGGATATTTCTGTGCTAAACTACAGCTTGATGAGAAGTTTATATGAAATAATTCATATATGAACTGCGGTTGTAGATGAAAGTGGAGAATGATCATCTTCCACGGGAAGATATGAACTCAATAAATTGACCTCGCTCCCAATGTGTGGCTTCATAGCTCAGTTGGTAGAGCATCGCACCGGTATCGCGGAGGTCACGGGCTCGAATCCCGTTGAAGCCCTGATTTTTTCAGGCTTCTTCTTTCCAATTGCTTAAAT